AACGTCAGCCGGAATACACTTTGGTCTCAGAAGTCGTCTCCTCTTCTTCCTCCTCTTCCGAGGATGATGTAAGGAATATAAACATTTCAGTTGACAGGGAAGTCGTGTTTCTTATATTTTCAATATAAAGTTTATCTCTAATTTTCAGGGCAGTCAAAAGCCGGTCAAAAGTCCCAGTTTTACTTTGGTTTAACTGTGTGGTTAAATCTATTTGTCACTGACCGGCATATCAACATACGAGTCTTTTATGTCTTAATGCCTGTGATGTTCCTACCGACAAAATCATAGACATTTTGGCTGCATTTGTCACACGCATTTAACACATTCTCAAAACCACGGGAGGACCAGCCAATTTTCGATAAAGCAGCGTTACATATAAATCGGAAATGTAGACTGCGTTGTGTGTAATCTGAAAGAATCAATTTCTGTTTAAAATTCGCTAAAGGATTATTTTCAAGAGTACTGTGCTGTTTCATTCGCTCGGCCTCTTGAACAGAAGGGCCTTTTTTGTACATTCTCAACTTACGTTTACTAAGTGACACCGATTGTTCACGTTTTGTATTTTTGTGCTTTTGTAAACCAATAAGTATTTCCTAAAATCACTTTATACACTTGGAAATTGCAATGCACTTTCAGTAGCGTTGTAAAAAATTGGAGGACTAAGTGTGCTCTGATTTTCTTTTGAAATTCTTGAGATAAGTATACTACTGCAACGTCAGATCTTTAACTAACGGGAAACATGAAGGACATATTAGAAATTATCAATAAAAATTTTCCTCATAGAAACGGGAAGATCACAAATAGGAAAACCCATTTGTATCTGTGTATAGAGGCCAGAGCACGCCAAGCAAATTTTACAAAGACGTATTCATACACTTTTCATTTCATTCGTCTACACAACTTTGCGTACTATTAAGTGTGAAAGTTGAACAACGGCTTACTGTTTAATTATAAGTTTGAAGTCAGTACCATGAGAATTTGATGTAGTTTTGATGTATTTGCATTGTGCAGAATGATCTTGACTACGGCAGTGCAGTTTCCGCTTTATTTCTTTGATAAAGACGGAACAGAGCAGTAACGACTCAGATGTGGACATACAAACAAGTATCGCGTCAATTGCGTCCCCGTGGATGGGTGTGGGTGCTGTAAATGCTATTGGCAGGGTGGGTGCGTCCTATTACTACTGTCATCTTTTCGTTCTCGGTACATGTATGTGAGATGGCTGCTGAGGAGTGCTTCGAATGAGAATACGAAACGCTACACGATGAAGGTCCTGTCTCAAATCACGCACCTCCGTCGTCCAAATTTCGGTTTCATCGAGCGCATCGTTTCAACTCATGATGGCGACAGGGTCATACATGATCGCAACTTGGCGTTCTTATTAGAATGCCTCCGGACGTTCGCTCTGGTTTTTCATATTAGCTAAAAATTTAATTTTAAAACATAATCTGCGCCGATTAAGACGATATTATAATGAAGATATATATCGCATTCATCATCTCCCAAATGCAACGAAGAAGAAGAGGGGGCGGGTTCATGGACCAAATTATATTTGTACTGACGTTTCGAAAACCTTCTTGCTTCCATCGTCAGAACGCGATAACATATCTGGACCCCAAATATTTCAGTATTTGAGGATACATTCACATATATATATACATATATATATATGTATATATATGGTTGTTTAATTAGCCACTCATAGTCACAGGAAAAATTCAAGGGTTGAAAACTGATAAGTAAGAGGCTTCAAAAAAGAAGTGAAAGAACAGCAAGTCCCTCGTTAGTTGCGACAAGATAATTATCTCATATAGTCAGACGCATGCATGCCCGGGCAAAACGCTTTTACATTTCTTTGTCTCTTTTCAGGAAGATTGTGAATACATAGACCTTCCTTTACAAAATACCCAGGAAATGAGGCGTCCAGCCTTTTTGTCAACTACATGTCGTATTCACAAAGCCTAAAAATACGGTGCAACCAGGTATCTACAAAAAACAACGTTTGCGTTCTGTAAGGAAATTATAACAAAATAACGCTCTGGGAAACAACGCGACACTGAGGTAGAGCAAAAAGAGTAGAAAAGGAATACGTTCCTCCCTTTACGGAAGAAATATTTCGAGCGATTTGTCCTCAATAGTCCTTTCTTTACTATCAATGTCCCCTTTCCGATAGTGATGCACAATTGCCATTTCGGAGTGTTCAGCTCCCACATTGAGGGCCACAGCTGTAGACTCTTCGTAGGGTTTGCTAATATGATGTATGCCCATTTCAAAAATCCACAAAGGCCGGACTAGACACTTCCGGCGCAGGATGTCCAGTTTCTCAACTCGCCTGGTATAGTCTCGGTGGAAGGGTCGTTCAAAGTCCTCGGTGTCCTGGGTAGGAAAGATGGCCGAGTCGAAACAGTAACCTGGGCGGGTGAGGTTATGCGAAGACGTGCCCCAGAAGTAATCCGTCAAGGTGCCCCAGTCCGCGGCTGTGGGGCTTACGGGCACCAGAATTTCATCTATATCACCAAAGAAAACAAAATCCACATCACGCATACTTCGATAGAGACAGTCATTGACAGTGATTATTTGGAAGTAGTACCAGGAACGCCTGCTGATTATATCCGGATCATCGGACCATATAAGCGGAATGAGCTCGATGTCTATGGCCAGGCCTTCCAAGAACGGGGTGCAGTAAGAACGCTAAGCAAAGGCTTCACAATAGCCTTGGTGTAATAAAAGCGAAACTTTGTTACGCCCAGGTGCATATGTATTTCAATCCATTCGTCCAATCGCCGGGGATTTAG